GTTAGTTTTTTTTTTATCCCCCTTAAATTCTTCTAAAGTTCTTATTTTAATTTTATTATCTTAAAAAAATTGTTTGGGTTTAGAAATGGGTAATAAAATTTGTCAATGAAATATAGAAATCTAGATTTTTTTTTCTTGTTCAAATGGACCAAAAATAAAGCAAGAGTGGGTGGGGATCAAATATCATATTGGGTAGGAATTTTTTTTATTATAGCATCTAATTAGAACAAAACAGCTGTTTTTGTTTTTAATGATCTTCATGTCTTTTTGTAGAACTCAAAACAATGAAGTAGTTGATACTCACGCTATTCCTTAAAAGAGCCAGCTAACTTGCCTTCATCAATCTCTAGAGAGTTCCTCTTACATAAGGAATGCTTTTTCTCTTCTATAGAGGGTAAAAAGTATTCCTGTGTTTGCAGTTATTGAGTGCTAAGAGCATGAGTTGAACTGATCATAATGACTAACTTCTATCACACATAATTGTATTTTTCTTTAACTACAAGGAATTCTTCTCTAGATGAGGCCTTTTCAGTACTGAAACCATACACTATATTCAAAATCAAATATCTTTTGTAAATCTTTTTCAAATTATTGGTCTAATTATGGTTTTGTAGTTTAAATTAAGAATTCTTCAGAAGTAAAAAGAGATGATGTATTTGTCAATGACTGAAAATCTTTATTGGATGCAGGAAGTAGAAACGGTTTTAGACGCAAGTAAATGTATTCAAGAAATACTCCAAGTTTAAATTACCTGATAGCTTTAAACATTTCCAGTTTCTTTTTGTTTTTTTGTTTTTTTTTTAGTTTGTAAGCAATAAAAAAATAATATTTTAAAGCAATTTTTTTTCTTATAAACAGGAGACTTGGTTCATTTATCTTCAGTTGACTATATAGAAAAAAACTCCTTCATTTAAAGTTTATGTCAATGATTATTTTTTTGTATAGATTTTTTTTTTTTTTTGTTTTATTTACTGAAATGCTTATGGTGATTCACTATCTTGTTGCTTGTTTGTTTGTTTTTTTATGGATGGTGGGTGCATATTTATGATGGTGAAACAAATTTTCATGATGATAGAAAATTAAAATTGAGATATTATGATAAAAAATATCATTATTGCTGATAACATTTAAACTTATTGTAAATAAAGGAAACCAATCTAATAGATTTGTCTGGTTCTGGCTTTCCGGTCTGTTAGTTATTTATTATTTTTATATTCTGCATCTATGAAACTACATTATAGAAATAACGAAGTAAAAGAAAATCCTATTTCCTTCTTGTCTAAGGAAACCTTGCAAAATCTTGGTTCATATTTACTGCAGTTACTTTGTTTCAGGATGAGATAAAATTTGTTTTGCATATTTTTATATGTCAAATATTAATAAAAAAAAAGATACCTCCAATATTTATCATTCCAAACCAATTAATATAATTAACAACAAATCAGGATTTACTCTTATTGTATTATACTATATTATTATTATTGACAGACTGGGTTCTATAGCCTTGGATGGCAACTGGTCTAGGAAAAGGAAAACTCTGAATTCAAAACCTCTTAGATGAGGGTGAATGGAGTCTCTCTGAGCCTTGGTTGGCAATCCATTTAGTGATGGTGGCACGATAAAAAACACCCTTGATAGCCCTAGCGAAGCATCAAGAATTCAGCTATTTGACAAGATTATGAACTACACCAATCAAAGTATTGGTGAGTTCAATCTCGGCTGAGGTCGCAAGATGGATGGATTATTATTGACTTCAGTGACTTCTTATTTTTCATAAGTTAACTGTAATATTAAAGGAATTACATTTTGAAAGATACAAACAAGAATGCCCATGATTTTATTTTCTCAACCTGACCAAGAAGCTCTTTCAAAAAATAAATGTTCAGTTATTTGGTCAAATTTGAGATGTGATTGGCTGAGAATTTATCAGCACCACCACATTGAAGAACATATTTAAGTGTTTACTTGTATGACATTATATACAATTAAATTTTATTTGTGCAGACAAGAATGAAGTCAAGATAGTAATTTGATTTCACTTTCATTTTTATAATTGTAATTCATGTTGCAGTTAGGATTTATTAAATGTGTTTGTCAAAACTGAGTCATTTTAATGACTTTATACATGCATATGGGTGCTGTAAATTTCTCAGCTTTACCTAGTTCCTGATGATTGGAACAGTTTTTTTTTTTTTTAATCTCTTCTAGACTGAGCTAAATACTTTTTAGCACCCAGATTGTGTGGGCATGTGATGTAATATGTATAAACAAATGTCAATATTTTTTATAATACATCAAGCATGTTAATAGTTATAGACTTCATTAGTAACTAAGTTGATTTAATATTATGTACGTCTTACTGGAAAATTTTCTGTAAAATATTAATTTCAGAATTGTACCTAAAAATAAAGTGTAAATTTCCTTGCCACCATCCAAGTGGGCATTTGGCTTATAATGTATGTTTAATGTAAAACTGGGCCCTGTGTTCATCTCTCCTGACAGCAGCATTTTGATTTATAATATACATTAAAATGATTAAGTATGTATGAAAATTTCAAGTACAAAATTACTAGGCTGGTTGATATTAATTTTATTATTTAAAAAAAACCCCCAAAAAACAGTGATACCATCTTAAGCATGTGTCACCATTAATAATAACATTTATAATAAGAAGTAATAATGGCAGATGAAGAAAATTGATTTAATAAGTACAAAAGTGTTAGAAAAAAGTCTTTTTTTTTTTTTTTTTAGTTAATAACCTATGGTTAGTGTTGTCATAACATCACTAATTAATTTTCTAGTTACTTATAGACATTATGGATTAATGAAAAAAAGAAAAATTAAAAATAAATGGCATGCATTAAAAAAAAAAAAATGAACATCAAATAATGTCCAGTTTTGAAAATCAATTGTCCTGCTTTCTACCCAAATAAACTTAAGTTCATTTCCCAAAGAAATGAACATAATATTCATTTAGAGTAAATAAAAATATTTTCCTACAAAAATATCCAGGTAGCTTGAATTTTAACCATAACAAAATTATTTATGCCTTTTTTATTTACATTTCTCTGTTGAATATTTAAAAGGTTTGAATTTTGTTTTTTGTCTTTTTAAATCTTTTTCAAATTCTTTGCTTCTTTCCTTGACCAGCTGTCAATCAATGTCATTAATTTAAATTTTTCATACTCATAATAATTCAAGGATTAATATTGTTTAAACAAAAATACAAGTGATTCATAAAAAAGCAAAAAAAAAAAAAAAACAAAAAACAATGTTGCTTTGTCTATAATATATATATATATATATATATGTTTGTTACTAACATTTTTTAAGAAAATTTAAACAGATTATTTTAACTTATTTGCATAATTTCATAAATTACTTTTTTGGTTCCACTTGACTAATTTATGATAATATAAAATGACACATGACAACAATGGTGATTACAAGCAATGTAAAAAGTAAGTTACTGGACCTAAAATGTAAATGTAATGTCTTTTAAAATTATTTACTTTATGTACACTGTTAAAAAAAAAAAAAAAAAAGTTATGCTTAGAAGCAATTTTTTTTTTTTTTTTTTTTTTTTACATTATTTTACACTAAAATTTTTTATAACTTATGACTGAATTTTGACAAGGCAGATATAAATTCTTTCTATACAAACATGATCAATTAAAAAAAAAAAATATCACCATTGGCATCAACTATGGCCTCTAGACAACTTCGGAATCTCTTGCAACTCTTCTGAGTGGTCTCCTTGTTTAAGTTGGTGAATGCTGCTATAAACCTTGCTTTCAGTTCATCTTTGGTGTTACAAGGAGTTGGTTTCTTGCTCAACTGCACCCCACACATAATAATCAAGGGGTTGCAGTCTGAAGTTAGGTGGCCAGATATAAGGTGTGATGTGGTCGCAGAATTTGTCTGACAGCCATGACTGTGTATTCCAGCTAGTGTGGCATGTTGCAGAGTCATGTAGCCAAACATAGTGTCTTGTAGCAGCCACCCTCTTGACCAAGGGCAGCTCTACTTTCTCAAGGTATGTAGGCCAATGGGTTGAGTCTGAGGCCCTCATCAACAAATTCGGGAATTCTTTTCTTATCGGAATGATCAGAGTCAGTTTTCCAAGTTGCAGTACCTTCATGATCACCATTAGACATTCATCTCTTTCTGAATCCTCTGCACTGTCCTCAGATTGCCATCCAAACACTCTGAAATGTTCATATTGAAGCTCCTGGCATGAATGCCAAGCAGTACAACATACTATTTCCAAATTTCTGGCCGGGTGAATTGCATCATTGTGCTCTTCTTCTTCTCACAGATGGTGCCCAACTGACCCTACTATACTGTGCAGCTGACAAAATCAAAAACAAACAATGCGTATGTGTAAAATGGCGACAATTTACCCACCGCACCCTGTATATGAAATATTTATTAAAATATGCTTTCAAAAGATTTTATGCAAATTAAATGTTACTGTTGTAAATGCCTCTTGTTAGTAATACAAACAAAAAACTGATAGAAAAATGATTTGTTTTAGAATGTGGGTGCTTTTGCTCTACTGATGTAAGGTGGGGGATACACAAAATGTAGCCTTACATGAATTAATAAAAGATTATATTAAAGTTGTTCTTAGTATGGCAGTAACATTGGATAGTTATTTATTCTCATCTGAGTGTTGGAAATTTTACATTGCTAAACATAAAAAAGTCTAGAGATGCAAATATTAATGGCAACTGCCAAAGTACAATTATTTCTATTTCAGCCATCTATCAAATGTGAAATAATAATAATAATAGTTGTATCTTATGCTTATGAATATACAGTTTATTAACTTGGTTGACAGTGCTTCTTCCTTTTCATACTGTTTGCCATGAGTTAATCAAGAACTGATATATGCAGGATAAGATTTGTCTATGGTCTATATTCTCTATATTCTTTTCATTTAACTCCTTCTACCCAATGATTTGTCCTGACCAAACTCTCTCCTTTCCATCCTAATA